GTACATCTCCATGGGAAAATCCTATAGGCCTGTTCTTTCACACACACCCCCTTCTCGCTGTCCATTAGGAACAGACCCGCTTTTTCGAACCCGGGTCGCCTCTTGTCAGGGTTCGTTTACATAAAAAAAAGCAGACAAAATGGGATCGGTTTCACACAGCGCCTCTGACATGTACAAAATGAGGACCCACACGGTGATGGACACAGTGACAGCATCCCAGCAAAGACCCAGCCCACATCTTAATAAACGTGCCTTTTCATTTATCACAGTTTCCCAATCCGGTCCTCGGGATCTCGCAGACGGTTCACATTTTTGCTCCCTCCCTGCTCCATAGAAAAATGTGGACTGTCTTTGGGTCCCCGAGGACCGGGATAGGAAACACTGATTTATCGGATTTTATTTCCAACTATGTACCTGTGTACAGTTGACTCCGTTCTCTTTCTGCCAGTGTGTATACTTTAAGATGTTCGTATTTATTGGTTCATTTGCGAGTAATCAGTGAAATATGAGCTGTTTGTTCCGTTATGGAGTATTTATTGGGATCCTTGTTTAATCTGAAGGTGGCTCCTGTTTTCTGTGCTGTCAGTCTACTCACGTCGTGCTGCTTTGAGGTGTGACATACTGTGGGTTTCTATCACTAATTAAACCCTCACTCTATATTTTACCAGCACTTTTGCTCTCTTAATTACGACCTCCGGTGTGTCTCTCCATCTGTGGATGCAGGTAGGATTCCCCGGGCGGGCGAGCATCCGCAAGCGACCCGTCAAGGCTCAGTCGCTGGTTCAAAAGCCCCTTGCTGTAATGTGGCTGCAGCTCCCCACACGGTCCGCCAGGAAGGTGCAGTTTAAAGAGATTTAAAAAGGCTGGGAACTGAAGCAGTTTATCATGATGTAACCATTTCATGGGATGGTTTTATTGTAAGGACACATGCCCGCCTAAAAGGCAAACTCACAGTCATAAAATATTTTGCATATAAAATGTGCACTAAAAAAAAAAAAGCACAATTGAATCGTAGCCTTTTCTAGGAGATCAGGGAAGGTCCTGGGACTTTACCGCACAGTACCGGGGTGGAGCTCAGAGGTGCTGCCTTTTGTGTTTGAGGATCTCCGTGGAAGTTAGGGTCAAGTCTTTGTTACAGATATCACAGTGGTAGGCCCTGGTCAAGCTGGAAGAGGATGACTGGGACTCCCCTGTCTCAGACTCTGGCTCTAAAAACAAAAACAAGGGATCACGTGACTCAGAGGACATCTGTACTTCTCCAAACAAGCAAAAACGTCAAGTGATGACAGCTGGCTGGACTTACCCTCCATGGGCTGCAGTTCTCCAGCTGGCCTGCAGGAGGCCTCATGGTGCATTCGCTCCAAAGGGGTCATCGGCATGTGCAGGTCGCAATGGGGGCAGGTCCAGAAGGTGCGCAGACACTCGCTGTACAAATCCCGAGAGTCCTATGGAGACAGGTGCGCTCATACATACCTCCCTGAGTCCCGGGGACCTCCCCCTATAGTTTAACATCTGCTCCCCAGCCCAAACTCACAGTCAGGCAGTTGTACGTGAAAAAGCTGGTGACCCTCAGACCTCCCTTGATGGGGTCTGACTCGACCTGCAATCCGGGGAAGAGCGGGTTGGTCACCGGGCCGGTCGCTAGGCTAGGATCCTGGGGCCCAACGTACAGGTTCTGAGACTGCAGGGCAGTAAGACGTCGCACCGTGTAGCTGACCTGGGGGGCAGGAGGGGGACATCCCACATCAGTGGCACACTGCGAGGAAGGCAGTGTCAGAGTCTCTACCAAAGAGTGTCAGTAGGGGGCGCCAAAACACGGTGAATAAACAGCCTCATAGCATACCGCTCACCCCAGGGGTAAACGCAGATTGGCGGCTATAGTCATGTGACCCACCCCCCGGATTCCGGCATCAGAGCACCCCTCACCTCCGTGTACATCAGGAACCGCACCATGCCGTCGGCCAGCTTCCGTACCTCCCTGTACGGAACGGCCGGGCCCCCGGCACCCTGGCCCAGCTGGGCCTGGAGGAGGCGCTCCCACTCTGCCCGCAGCGTCAGGGCGGAGGAGAGCACCTTCAGCGCCGCCTCTCCGTCACGCAAGATCAGCTCCAGCCAGCCGTCGCCCACCAGGCGTGTGCAGTCTGCGTTGCTATCCAGGGAGCTGGAGACCAGGAGCAGTGCCTGAAGGGGGCGACACAGAGCAAGCATGCACATGCACACACACACACACACACACACACACACACACCAATTATCTCCATCTCACAGAAAGAGGACATAATGGATATTAAAGATGTGCTCTTGTGCACCATGCCCTACCTGCAGGCAGGGGACACGCACGCAGTTGCACAAGTATGCCTTGTTGGTTTCCAGCAGAGTGGTGAAAGCCAGCAGCTGGTGCTTGGTGCTTGCGCCTCGGTCGGCCCCTGGGTGCAGGAGGAGAGAGGGGCACAGTGCTCAGGAAAGGGGTGGGGCCCATAGGGGTGGGGGCCATAGGGGTGGGGCCATAGCAGGGTACATACCCAACTCCTCACACTCCAGCTCTGGGATGTGAAGAACCTCAGGGTCACTGGCAAACACACTGGTGGGGTGGATGACCACGCCCTGCTTGCTGCGCGTGTGGAAGACCTGTGGGCCGTGGGGGGGGGGGGGACCCACAGTCACCTAGGGCATGCCTCTGAAAGCCCCCCCCTGCCAAAAACCCCAACAGCCACCATAATGCCACTCTACCCCAACACCATGTGCCAAAAACTTCACACAAAACCATAATGCCATAAAACCATGATATCAGATGGCAGCGACTGTCATGAAATGCCGGGAATTAACCACAGTGCCACCCGCAGGCTCGGTAAGGGAATGCGAGGGAGGGCGGCAGGCAGCAACCTGGTCGGAGTCCTTCCGCGTGGCGTTGTGCTCGTCGGGCACTGCCAGCTGGGGGTAGAGCCCCCGGCACAGCAGCAGGCGAAGCAGAGCCCGCTGGGAGGAGGACAGGTCGCGGCTGGCGTCCGCCGCCCCCCGCAGTGCCGCCACGTCGTGCCGCAGTTGGAACTTCACGTCCTGGTGGGGAAATGGGGGGGGGGGGTGTCAGGCAGGAGACACAGACGACGGCAGCAAGCGGAGGCGGGCGGCCCGTCACCTGTATATCCACGGCGTGGGAGGCGCTGTCCGCGTCCCTCTTGGCCCTCCCGCTGCCCTCCTCCTCAGACCCCGAGGAGCCTGGGTCCCCGTCCACCTCCTCCATGCGCAGCACTTTGCGCCGGCCCGTCTCCTGCAGCTCGTGGTCCCGCTTCATCTGGTGCAGACGCCGGCGCTTGCCCAGCCTCTCCCGCCGCTGCTGCCGGTCCTGCCCTACGGGGGTGCTGCTCTCCGCCTCCAGCAGCCCATGGCTGCCCAGCAGTTCCTGCAGCGGAACATTTGCAATTTCCAACCCAGTTCCTACCATGCCCCTAGCACACTCCTTGTTGGGATCCAATTGGCATTTCCAACCCAGTTCCAATAAACCGCACCCCTTGTTATGAATGGCCAATTAGCCGTAGGGACAGATCTTCACATTGTGATTGGCTGTAGAAAAACCCTATAGAATGAAATAAAACAATATCGAAAGAAACTGTTGACTAACTGATGCTTGTTTTTCAGTCTGTTAAGTTATACATCATACTAACAGAAGCAAACACAATTAAATAAATGAATGTCAACATTGCTGTTTCACATGGTGAGGCGATTAAGTGGAATTATGATATAGTTAATATTTCGGTATAGTTCACTGATAAGATAGCCAACCTATCAGTGAAAGTCTCCATTAAAAGCCTATTAAAGACAGTTTACTGTTGCTTGAAAAACAAATATCAAAAAGCCATACAAATAACTGCAAACAAAAATAAACCTATGAATTTTGTCATACAACTGGGGGCATGTTTCACTGTAATTGGGTTGGAAATCATGTGCACGGCCTGCAGCAGGGTGGCAGAGGGTCATCCCTGGATGTGCTGCACGTTTTTAGCCAGCAGAGGGCAACGCATCTGGCTCTTGGGATGTCACCGGCGGTCACCTTGAACTGCCGCCGCAGGTTGACCATCTCGTACAGGCGCTGCTCCTCCAGCCCCCGTCGGCGACACCACTTCCTGGAGCCAGTGCCTCGCTCCCCCTTTGCCTGCAGGAGACCAAGGGGGGCCCACATGTGCACACTCACCCTGCAAAATCCTTTTCTTCATAAATAATCTGCTTTCTGACAGCCTGGGACACTGCTAATGCCCAGAAGGTTGCCAGTTCAAAACCTGTGGGATCTCGCCATCGGGCCCCTAATCCGCAATTCCTCTAGCGACCGGCCAAGCCGGCTTTCCAAAATGTGTCGCTTTTCAAAAAATGTCTGCTAAACAAATTTAAATTTGTAAATAACCCCCATGACAGGTGGGGGGAGGAGGGACCGGAATCTGACCACTCCTCCATTGGTTAAAGACCCGAGTGTGTGCGTGTCCCGGCTCTGACCTGCACCCAGGCGTTAAAGGCGTTGAGCAGAGTGAAAGGGTCTCCCAGGTTGCTGATCAGGGGTTGGCGTGCAGTGGTGCAGTCGGGATTGTTCTGGGCGCTACGCAGCAAGGGAGACTGCACGCTGAGGGCGGCGGCCAGGCTCAGCACAGGCTCCAGGAGGTGGAAGACGGAGCCCAACACCAGCATCTTCCCTGGGAGCACAGACACGCATCAATCGGTCCCCGGCCCCATCCCTAAAATCCCTCTCAAAGGCCCCTCAATCACTGCCCCATACCGATGACGACGTCCACAGGCAGCTGTGCCAGCAACCTTCCAATGGGAGTCAGCTCTCCACAGCTGTCAAGCGCCCCCTGCTGGGTGAGGTAGGTCAACGCGGTTTGGATGCTGGCAGCAGGGGGTGGGTCAATGAAAGTGAAAGAGCGGGGGTCACCCAGTCCCATACTCTTCATCTGCAAGGACACAGGGATAGGGATGCTAATACCATAGGATCCTACAGCTGCTTACGATGAAGAGGAACTGACCATGACCGTCTCTCACCTGAAGCACCAGCGAATCCAATGCCACCCGGTGGATTTCTGGCACTGGGTAGGGGGCAAAGGCATCATAGTCGGATTCCACATACAGCCGGTAACAGACCCCGGGGCCGGTACGACCCGCTCGACCCTTCCGCTGCTCCGCGCTGGCCCGGCTGATCCAGAACTCCTGTAGCCTCTGCATCTTGGCCTTCGGGTCAAAGCTCATCTCCTTCACCTTCCCTGCGGGAGGCCGCACGTGTCAGCGGTACGTCTCAGACAGACCACACCACCCAAATGCTCACAAAACCACTTACCTGAATCCACCACGAATCGCACCCCGTCGATGGTCACCGATGTCTCAGCGATGTTGGTGGAGATGATGCACTTCCGTACCCCTGGGGGGGCGATGTCAAATACCTGCAGGGAGCCATCATCGTTAGGGTGCTGAAAGTCATGACACCGAGTGGCGACAGCAGCTTGACAAAATCACCACCAGGGGGTGCCAAACCTTGTCCTGCTGGGCCAGGGAGAGGGTGCTGTGCAGGGGTAGAACGATCCAGCGGCGTGTGTGAGTGCCGTAGGTCTGGCAGGCCTCCATGATGGTGCCGATTTCCGCCACGCCGCTGAGGAAGAGCAGTAGGTCTCCGCGTTCCTCCGGGGGGTACCGCTGGTCGATGCCCTGCAGCACACGCAGGTACGGTCGGGGGTCCAGCTTCTCCGAATGGGATGGCTGCTCCTCAGGGGGGATCGGCTGGTAGATAACCTGAGGGGAGACCAGTCTGAGCAAGAGGTTCTTAGAGCAGTGTTTCCCAATCTAGTCCTCGGCGACCTGCAGACAGTCCACATTTTTGCTCCCTCCCAGAGCAAAAATATGGACTGTCTGTGGGTCCCTGAGGACTGTATTGGGAAACTGCTTTACAGCAGAAGGCTTAGTATGTCTTTTGTTTATGAAAAATTATTATTCAGGGAGGCTGTAGCCCCTCTAAATAGGGTCTAGAGCCACCTGTGAGGTTACCTGGCAAAACTAGGCCTTCAACTAGGTCTATGGTTGTGCAGATCAGTGAATGTGCAGCCTTTAATCTCTGTGCCAAGGGAACCTCCCATCTCCAAAGGCCCATACCCCTCCTTCAGTGTCTCCAATCATTACAAAATAGGCAGCTTCAAACTCAAAACCAGTTACAATGCAAAACATATGCAGGCCCTAAACCACCGTGCTCCTTGTGGCCTGATGCGTCATCACTGTTGGCACGATCACCCACCTGGATAGGGAAGAGCCTCCCGGGAACCTGGAGCACAGGTGCATCGCTGAAGTAAGTGGAAAAGAGTTGAATGTTGATGGTGGCTGACATGAGGACGAGCCGCAGGTCGGGGCGCAGGTGCAGCAATGCACGGAGCACGCCCAGCAGGAAGTCACTATGCAGGTGCCGCTCATGAACTTCATCCACCAGCAGCACCTGGTAGCGGGCCAGCGTGCCGTCCTGCTGGATCTGCCGCAACAGCAGCCCCTCGGTCAGGAAGAGCAGCTTAGTGATCGCCGTGCGCGTTGTCTCGAAGCGGATCTGATAGCCCACCTGGAATATGGCAGCGACACATGTGAGACGGGAGTTAGTGCGACCGCGACAGGATCAATGCGGCTGATGCAGCCACATGCACTGCATAGTGACACCCCCGGTGGAAGGTGGTCCCAGCCCAGTACGCAGCTGTGTCTCTGTACCTTTGATCCGTACTGGTTGAGGCTCTCAACGCTGACACGCTTAGCCAGTGAGGTGCAGGCAATTCGGCGTGGCTGGGTGCAGCCGATGTTGCTGAAGCCGGCGGAGAGCAGGTACTGGGGTACCTGGGTGGACTTCCCGCAGCCCGTGTCCCCGGCCACCAGCACCACCGGGTGTGCCCTCACAAGCTCCACAATCCGGTCCCGGTACTGGAAGATGGGCAGGGATCTCCGCTCCCGCTGTAGCTTGGCCAGCTTGGAGAAACTCTGCTTCTGGCTAAAGTCCAGGTAGTGGAGCAGGGCCAGTCGGCACGTGGCAACCTTCTGGCTCCCGGGGTCCAAATGACTCCTCCGGCGCGAGTCAGCCTGGCCGAGCCGCTCCTCCACATCCCGTGTCCGCACGGAGACGTTGATCCTGTAACGGGCATCATATTCCTTGGGCAGGCCCAGGTCCAAAACTGAAGTTTTACTCTTTTTGCACTTGCCCTCTTGTTTCACCTCTTGTTCTTTTGAGCCCAGCATCTCCTTTTTCTCCTTAAACCTCTGGAATCGCTCAAAGAAAGCCCAGAACTGCTTATGGTCAGGACTTCCCGCCTGGATATAATCGTGGGGACGGAAGAAAATCTCATCCAGACGTGCGCGGCATCCCGGGCTGCTCCAGTCCCAATTCTCACCGTCCCGTTTTCTCTCTGACCCCATTTTATTTATTATTATTAAAGTTGGTTCTACACAAGTAGCAGTTTACAGACCATCCAGCGCATTTGCAGTAAGACTAAGGGCACTGTGTATGTAGCCTGTGCAAGCAATACGTTACACCTGCGACTCTGACAGAGCAGCAGCACACCGCATCACTGTAGATCAAAGACGGGTCGGCATTCATCCCGTGTAAGATCTGACTCCGGATCTCATACATCACCGTTTATTCACACGATTATGCAACAGCTTTGCACGCCTAAACCAGAATTGCTAGCCGGATATACACACACACATAAATTATGTATCGCAAATGCGTCGTTATCATCATTTTACGGTTTCTGTAAACGGATAAGACAGCGGATGAAGGTTCAGTAATGCTCGCTGACCTCGATATTGCATTTTCATACAAACATCACAGCCAAGGGTTGGAGACTATCAACTAAGCACACTGAAAAAGAATAAAGTCAGTTGTTTCAGCACATCCACACGGAAACGCCGGGTTCGTCGGAGACGGTCACCGAAAATACCCAAAAACGAAATATTTACCCGAGGGTGACAGAAAATATTACGGACCGTTTCCGTTCCGTCTATAAAAGAAACCGGGTGGCTCAGGGTGCGTCCAATATCCGTTCCGATGGGACCGGATATTCGGTCCCATCAATAAGCACTAGGACAGGGGTGTCAAACTCTAGTCGTGGAGTGTTGGAACCCTGTGTAGTTTAGTTCTTTTCCTGTTTCACCACCAATGATTCAGCTCAAGAGCTGTGTGGTAATTAGCACAAGGAGCTGCAAGGAGTCAAAATCAGGTGTGTTGAACGAGGGGAAACCCAAAATGTGCAGGGCTCTGGCCCACCAGGAGAGGAGTTTGACACCCCTGCACTAGAAGGAACAACGTTTTACTGGATAGACCAGAAGCACTGGGTTAGTTACTGATAAGACGAAATGCAGTCAGCACACATACCTGCGTGTATTTAATGTAGAAAGACGTGCAAACATGTTTACTATCACGCAGCCTGCTGCCATACAGATCCTCTGCAGCCCCACCTACATCACCTCAATCACTGCATGTAAATCTGTCTGGGAGAGAGGAATATTCCTACTGGAAGTGGCACATGATGAACTCACTGATGGTATCACAGGCAGGGCCGGTCCACCCTTCAGATGACATAGGCGGTCAACCCGAGCACAATTTGATTAAGGGGGGCAAAAGAAGTGAGTGAAAAAAATCATAAGAAATGTGATTTTATTTACACTAGTTTTAATATTTAGCTACTGAAACAGATGCCAGCTAGCTAGTTAGCAGCCAGAAACCCCATGCAACTGAAATAGCTGTAATACTAATGAACTGATAAAATTTGTTTTCTGCTGCCCTT